GGGGGAGGCTCATTGATGGAGGTGGGGGGGAGGGAAGGCTCATTGATGGAGTTGGGGGGAGGGAAGGATCATTGATGGAGGTGGAGGGGAGGCTCATTAATGTAGGCGGGAAAGGAAGGATCATTGATGAAGGGTATTATTATTATTATTATTATTAATATTACTACGAGTTTATATAGCGCCAAAGGGTTTGCTCAGCGCTGTACAATAGGGGGGACATGGCACAGTACAACAACAACAAACAACGTACGAGGGGTAAGAGGGCCCTACTCTTACGAGCTTACAATCTAGGAGGGAGGGGGTAAAGGTACAGTAGGAAGTGGCTGAGGGGGATGAAGTGGTGGGAGGAATGAGGGAGGATGGCCATTAGGTGAGGGTGGGGTGGGGAGGGAAAGCTCATTGATGGAGGTGGGGGGGGGGAGGGAAGACTCATCGATGGAGGTGGAGGAGGAAAGGACCATAGATGGAGGTGGGGGGAGGCTCATTGATGGAGGTAGGGGGAGGGAAGGATCATGGATGGAGGTGGGGAGGGAAGGCTCATTGATGGAGGTGAGGGGGAGGGAAGGCTCATTGATAGAGGTGGGGGAGGGAATGCTCAATGGTGAAGGTGGGGAAGGAAGGCTCATTGATGGACGTGGGGGGAGTCGAGGCTCATTTATGGAGGTGAGGGAGAGAAGGCTGGCCATTGTAGTCCGATCCAATAGAAGAGCTACTGGAGATCATATTTCTGAAAACGGTAATGTTGGTTCTCATAGAAAGGTGTCAGAACAAGCTGAGTATGGGGGCTGGGTAGCCGCAGCAGACCGGTCAGGAGGCCCATGCTGACCCGTGTCCACAGCCAAAAGTGCCTACAATGCGCTCATGAACATCAGAACTGGACGACGGAGCCATGGAAGAAGGTGGCCTTGTCTGAGGAATTCAAGAATGGTTTGAGAAGCACAACAACAAGTTGGAGGTATTGGCTTGGCCTGCAGATTCTCCAGATCCCAATCCAATTGATCATCTATGGCAGTGGTCGGCAAGCCGCGGCTCGCGAGCCACACGTGGCTCTTTACAAACTTTAATGCGGCTCTTCTGTGTGCCGGGAGCCCGCTCCCCTCCCTCCTCTCGGGCGGCCGCCCCAAAAGTTAGGACTCTGCAGCTAGCTCAGCAATGGGCAAACTACGGCCCGGCGGACCTTTTAATCCGGCCCGCGGAGCGTGGCAAACATTGGCTGTCAGGATGTAGGCGGGGCAGCCAGGATGTAGGCGGGGCAGCGTGACGAACTCCTCTCCTCTCACAGTCCGCCCTGAAGACCGGAACAGCGCGGGGACACGGCGAGAGGAACGCGCGGAGCAAAGGTAAGTGAATTGACACAATACGGGGGATGAATTACTATATGGGGGATGAATTACTATGGGGGATGAATTACTATGGGGGATGAATTACTATATGGGGGATGAACTACTATATGGGGGATGAATTACTATGGGGGATGAATTACTATATGGGGGATGAATTACTATATGGGGGATGAATTACTATGGGGGATGAATTATATATGGGGGATGAATTACTATATGGGGGATGAATTACTATGGGGGATGAATTACTATATGGGGGATGAATTACTATGGGGGATGAACTACTATATGGGGGATGAATTACTATATGGGGGGATGAATTACTATATGGGGGATGAATTACTATGGGGGATGAATTACTATATGGGGGATGAATTACTATATGGGGGATTAATTACTATATGGGGGATGAATTACTATATGGGGGATGAATTACTATGGGGGATGAATTACTATATGGGGGATGAATTGCTATATGGGGGATTAATTACTATATGGGGGATGAATTACTATATGGGGGATGAATTACTATGGGGGATGAATTACTATATGGGGGATTAATTACTATAGGGGGGATGAATTACTATAGGGGGTGAATTACTATATGGGGGATGTATTACTATGGGGGATGAATTACTATGGGGGATGAATTACTATATGGGGGATGAATTACTATATGGGGGATGAATTACTATGGGGGATTAATTACTATATGGGGGATTAATTACTATATGGGGGATGAATTACTATGGGGGATGAATTACTATATGGGGGATGAATTACTATATGGGGGATGAATTACTATATGGGGGATTAATTACTATATGGGGGATGAATTACTATGGGGGATGAATTACTATAGGGGGGATGAATTACTATATGGGGAATGAATTACTATGGGGGATGAATTACTATATGGGGGATGAATTACTATATGGGGAATGAATTACTATGGGGGATGAATTACTATATGGGGGATGAATTACTATATGGGGGATGAATTACTATAGGGGGGATGAATTACTATATGGGGGATGAATTACTATGGGGGATGAATTACTATATGGGGGATGAATTACTATACGGGGGATGTATTTTCAGTTTTAAAAATGTGGCTCTCAAAATAAATTTCAATCGTGGTTTTGGCGAGATTTGGCTCAGTTGAAAAAAAAAGGTTGCCCACCACTGATCTATGGGATGAGAAAGAAAAAACAAGTCCGATCCATGGAGGTTCCACCTCCCAACTTACAGGACGTAAAGGATCTGCTACTGACGGCTCGGTGCCGGAGACCACAGGACCTTCAGAAGTCTAGTGGAGGCCATGGTGAGAAGGGTCAGGAACGTGGGACCTACTCAGTATTAGGTAGATGGTCCTAGTGATCCTAGTGATCCTGGTATCTTTGTACAGTGACACCCTCTTATCAGCGAAGGGCAGATCCCCGACTTCCACCCTCAGTTGCACCTCTCCCGTTCCATACCGGAGGTTCCCGGTATCTCATCTTCGGGGTCCAGCGGACAAGAAGCCTCGGAGAGTTCCTGAGAAGCCAAATCTGAAGCTGTTTCCAGCTAAATGATGATAAATCAACATGCATCAGTCAACAAATCTTCACAGTGGCACTCCGGGTGGAGTAAATGAAAGCAGCGGGCCCTTGGCAGTGAGAGGGCCCCCCGCTGGCAGCCTCTCAGCCGTACAGAACAGGAAACACCTTTCTGCCTGGGTGACTTTCCTTATTAAAAATCCACAGCGGGCGGCACGGCAGGGGGGTCCCTCTAAAACAACTCGGTGCCGTCATTTTCCTGAAAGACATTTGCCGAGATGATGAGAGCGAATTCCTCTCATCTGCCGAAGGAACGCTGGGCCCCGAGAGGTCGGAGCCACGTGGATTTTTTTTTTTTCTTTATTCATTAGGAAGAGGAAACGGAGCCGCGCGGCGAACGCAGAGCCACATCGCCGGGTCAAGCAAGTTCTCGTCTCCGGGTGGGATTGTGGAGGAGAGATTAGATTGGTAAATAATGGCCAACGCCGGATGGGCCGAAACCCATCAAATTTCAATAGAGTCACATGACTGAGAGGGACCCCGGCAACCGGCGGCATCACCAAAACCAGAAGTGGCCCTTTAACACCTTTCTCTTTGACCTTTTTTGCATTTTAGACTTCCTTGCATCTGTTTTTTTGGGGCTTCTGAGCCCATTAGGACGTCTTTTCTGCCTGTCTGAGCCTTTTTTTTTTTTTTGAGAGGTGTGAATATTTAAAGGGGCACCCCCTCAATCTCAAACTTCTTACCATGAAGGAACCGGAGGAGTAGTGTCCACGTCTCAGGGAACCCCCCCCCAATAATGTCTACAGATGACCGGGCAATGGCGTGGACGGTAGGTTGTGGATAGAGCAGAGGTGTCCAAACTACAGCCCTCCAGGAGTTGAGGAACTGCAAGTCCCATGAGGCCTTGCAAGACTCTGACATCCACAGGAAAGACTCCCAGAGGCATGATGGGACTTGTAGTACTTCAACAGCTGGGGGGCAATAGTTTGGACACCCCTGGGGTAGAAGAACGTGGAGTACTCCACACCCAGAGCTTTTTTTTCCATTTTGGATGGGGAAAGGGAGAATTATGAGTTTTTTCTTGCCATCTGTGTCCCATTGGGGAGATTTCCCTTCATTTCCTGTCCCATATTCAACAACAGGAAGTGAGAGGAAATCCCTACAAAGTGAGGGAGTCCCAGAACTAGTGTCCCCATTAGAAGACTACCCTTCTATTACTGTTCTGGGGACAAACCAAAATGTGGGACTTTCTTTTACTTCCTGTCTCACAGCCGCAACAGGAAGTGAAAAGAAATCCCTCCAAAGTGAGGGACTCACTAGTTGTCACCAGAACTAGTGTCCCCATTGGAAGACCGGAGAGGGTGGAGCCACGTGGATTTTTTTTTTTCTTTATTCATTAGGAAGAGGAAACGGAGCCGCGCGGGGAACGCAGAGCCACATCGCCGGATCAATCAAGTTCTCGTCTCCGGGTGGGATTGTGGAGGAGAGATTAGATTGGTAAATAAAGGCCAACGCCGGATGGGCCAAAACCCATCAAATTTCAATAAAGTCACATGACTGAGAGGGACCCCGGCAACCGGCGGCATCACCAAAACCAGAAGTGGCCCTTTAACACCTTTCTCCTTGACCATTTTGCATTTTAGACTTCCTTGCATCTGTTTTTTTGGGGCTTCTGAGCCCATTATGACGTCTTTTCTGCCTCTCTGAGCCTTTTTTTTTTTTGAGAGGTGTGAAAATTTAAAGGGGCACCCCCTTAATCTCAAACTTCTTACCATGAAGCAGGGGTGTCCAAACTATGGCCCTCCAGCTGTTGAAGTACTACAAGTCCCATCGTGCCTCTGGGTGTCTTGCCTGTGGATGTCAGAGTCTTGCAAGGCCTCATGGGACTTGCAGTTCCTCAACTCCTGGAGGGCCGTAGTTTGGACACCTCTGCTCTATCCACAACCTACCGTCCGCGCCATTGCCCGGTCATCTGTAGACATTATTGGTGGGGGTTCCCTGAGATGTGGACATTACTCCTCCGGTTCCTTCATGGCAGAGGTGTCCAAACTACAGCCCTCCAGGAGTTGAGGAACTGCAAGTCCCATGAGGCCTTGCAAGACTCTGACATCCACAGGCAAGACACCCAGAGGCATGATGGGACTTGTAGTACTTCAACAGCTGGAGGGCCATAGTTTGGACACCTCTGGGATAGAGGAATGTGGAGTACTCCACACCCAGAGCTTTTTTTTCCATTTTGTATGGGGAAAGGGAGAATTATGAGTTTTTTCTTGCCATCTGTGTCCCATTGGGGAGATTTCCCTTCATTTCCTGTTCCATATTCAACAACAGGAAGTTAGAGGAAATCCCTACAAAGTGAGGGAGTCCCAGAACTAGTGTCCCCATTAGAAGACTTCCCTTCTATTACTGTTCTGGGGGCAAACCAAAATGTGGGACTTTCTTTTACTTCCTGTCCCACAGCCGCAACAGGAAGTGAGAAGAAATCCCTCCAAAGTGAGGGACTCACTAGTTGTCACCAGAACTAGTGTCCCCAATGGAAGACCGGAGAGGTCAGAGCCACGTGGATTTTTTTTTCCCCTTTATTCATTAGGAAGAGGAAACGGAGCCGCACGGCGAACGCAGAGCCACATCGCCGAATGGGCCAAAACCCATAAAATTTTAATAAAGTCACATGACTGAGAGGGACACCAGAAACCGGCGGCATCACCGAAACCAGAAGTGGCCCTTTAACACCTTTCTCCTTGACCTTTTTTTGCATTTTAGACTTCCTTGCATCTGTTTTTTTTGGGGCTTTTGAGCCCATTATGACGTCTTTTCTGACTCTCTGAGCCATTTTTTTTTTTTTGAGAGGTGTGAAAATTTAAAGGGGTAGCACCTCAATCTCAAACTTCTTACCATGGAGGATTGGAGGAGTAATGTCCACGTCTCAGGGAACCCCCACCAATAATGTCTACAGATGACCGGGCAATGGCGCGGACGGTAGGTTGTGGGTAGAGCAGAGGTGTCCAAACTATGGCCCTCCAGGAGTTGAGGAACTGCAAGTCCCATGAGGCCTTGCAAGACTCTGACATCCACAAGCAAGACACCCAGAGGCATGATGGGACTTGTAGTACTTCAACAGCTAGGGGGCCATAGTTTGGACACCCCTGGGGTAGAGGAACATGGAGTACTCCACACCCAGAGCTCCCTGGTTGTCACCAGAACTAGTGTCCCCATTGGAAGACTTCACTTCTATTACTGTTCTGGTGACAACCCAAAATTTGAGATTTTCTTTCACTTCCTGTCCCACAGCTACAACAGGAAGTAAGAAGAAATCCCTCCAAAGTGAGGGAATCCCTGGTTGTCACCAGAACTAGTGTCCCTATTGGAAGATTTCCCTTCTATCTCTGTTCTGGTGACAACCCAAAATTTGGGATTTTTTTTTTACTTCCTGTCCCACAGCCACAACAGGAAGTAAGAAGAAATCCCTCCAAAGTGAGGGAATCCCTGGTTGTCACCAGAACTAGTGTCCCTATTGGAAGATTTCCCTTCTATCTCTGTTCTGGTGACAACCCAAAATTTGGGATTTTTTTTTTACTTCCTGTCCCACAGCCACAACAGGAAGTAAGAAGAAATCCCTCCAAAGTGAGGGAATCCCTGGTTGTCACCAGAACTAGTGTCCCTATTGGAAGATTTCCCTTCTATCTCTGTTCTGGTGACAACCCAAAATTTGGGATTTTCTTTTACTTCCTGTCCCACAGCCACAACAGGAAGTGAGAGGAAATCCTTACAAATTGAGGGACTCCCTAGTTGTCACCAGAACTAGTGTCCCCATTGGAAGACTTCCATTCTATTCCTGTTCTGGTGACAACCCAAAATGTGGGATTTTTTCCTTCACTTCCTGTCACACAGCCACAACAGGAAGTGAGAGGAAATCCCTCCAAGGTGAGAGAATCCCTGGTTGTCACCAGAACTAGTGTCCCCATTGGAAGACTTCCCTTCTGTTCCTGTTCCGGTGACAACCCAAACATTGGGACTTTTTTCATATTCGGTGATAATGGTCACCAGGACAGATAGAGAGGGTGATTCTCCCTAATGGGGGCACAGACAGTAATAAACACCTGACAGGGGGTCTAATCCCTCTCATGGCTGGTGGGAGGGGCCAGCAGGGGGCTGTATATAGCTTCTTGAAAACATCCCAGCACCCCATCTCAGTCCTCCTCTCCAGAGTCCTCAGTCCTGATGCAGCAGTGGGAGGAGTTATGCAAATATCACAATGCCTTGATGGGTAGATGTCAGCCTGGAGGAGTGGGCGTACCTAGGAAGTCATATTTGCATTGATAACGCCCACATTTGATGCTGAACCTCCTTGGCTGAAAGAAATTAAAGCCAATGAATGAAAAGGGGCGGGAACAGTCAGGCTGGGGAGGTGCTAGATGATGCTGGACGTGTTCCATCCAGGAAAGGAGGTGGAGCTCTATCTGACTTGCTGCAGCTTCTAATGCACATTGTGAGAAACCCACAGTGTGCAGTGACATCAGAGGAAGCCAGGACCGGGGAGGAGCTGGTGCACCTGTGCAAGACTGAAGGGGAGGAGCCAGTACACCTGTGCAAGACTGAAGGGGAGGAGCCCACACACCTGTGTGAGACTGAAGGGGAGGAGCCGGTACACCTGTGCAAGACTGAAGGGGTGGAGCCCACACACCTGTGTGAGACTGAAGGGGAGGAGCCAATACACCTGTGCAAGACTGAAGGGGAGGAGCCCACACACCTGTGTGAGACTGAAGGGGAGGAGCCAATACACCTGTGCAAGACTGAAGGGGAGGAGCCGGTACACCTGTGCAAGACTGGAGGGGAGGAGCCAGTACACCTGTGCAAGACTGGAGGGGAGGGGCTGGTACACCTGTGCAAGACTGGAGGGGCGGAGTCAGTACACTAGTGCAAGACTGAAGGGGAGGAGCCAGTACAGCTGTGCAAGAATGAAGGGGAGGAGCTTGTACACCTGTGCAAGAATGGAGGGGAGGAGCTGATACACCTGTGCAAGACTGGAGGGGAGGAGCGGGTAAACCTGTGCAAGACTGGAGGGGAGGAGCCTGTACACCTGTACAAGACTGGAGGGGAGGAGCCGGTACACCTGTACAAGGCTGGAGGGGAGGAGCTGGTACACCTGTGCAAGACTGGAGGGGAGGAGTCAGTACACCTGTACAAGGCTGGAGGGGAGGAGCCTGTACACCTGTACAAGGCAGGAGGGGAGGAGCCTGTACACCTGTACAAGACTGGAGGGGAGGAGCCGGTACACCTGTACAAGACTGGAGGGGAGGAGCCGGTACACCTGTGCAAGGCTGGAGGGGAGGAGCCTGTACACCTGTACAAGGCTGGAGGGGAGGAACCTGTACACCTGTACAAGGCTGGAGGGGAGGAGCCTGTACACCTGTACAAGGCAGGAGGGGAGGAGCCTGTACACCTGTACAAGACTGGAGGGGAGGAGCCGGTACACCTGTGCAAGACTGAAGGGGAGGATTTTATATACATTGTATCTTTTATTTCACCTTCCGGATACATTTTACCAGAATGACTGAAATCTTAGATTTTCGATGAAAATTGTCATTTTCTTTCCTAATCAGAAATGTGAATCGCACTTCAGCGCAATTTCCTGGCGCTCGCCGTGCGCTGAACATAGCGGTAATGTAAGGAGATGGGATTATCGGTGAGATGGAAATAAACGGGCCGCCGCGATGTCAGAGCAGAAGAAGAAGACGAGTAATGAGATGTGTTTCCACGCTCCAGTCCCGCGCGGTCGGCGGAGGGGGGAGGGGCCAGGCTCCGGGTGACATATGGCTCCTCTATCAGATCCAGAACACATTCCAGACTGAGAACCAGTAAGAGCGCTTTTCAATTACATGAAATGTGTCTGAGTGCAAATGAGTCCTGAGCCCCAGCCAAGAGCGCCGCGCGTTCCCCCCATCGTGATACGCCGCGTTCCCAGGATCCCACCTTATTATACAATCCGAGCGGAACAAATCTGTGTGCAGGATTCATTTATACCTCCGATTATCGCCATCGCCAGACCGCCGCGCCGCGCCATACTCATCCCGACTTCTACTGCAACCTGCTGATTACCGAACCAGAGGAATACCACCCCCCATCACCTGTATATACAGAGTGACATCACCGCCCTCCAGATATAAGATATATTATACAGGAGTGACATCACCGCCCTCCGGATATAAGATATATTATACAGAGTGACATCACCGCCCTCCAGATATAAGATATATTATACAGGAGTGACATCACCGCCCTCCGCATATAAGATATATTATACAGAGTGACATCACCACCCTCCAGATATAAGATATATTATACAGAGTGACATCACCGCCCTCCGGATATAAGATATATTATACAGAGTGACATCACCGCCCTCCGGATATAAGATATATTATACAGAGTGACATCACCGCCCTCCAGATATAAGATATATTATACAGAGTGACATCACCGCCCTCCAGATATAAGATATATTATACAGGAGTGACATCACCGCCCTCCAGATATAAGATATATTATACAGAGTGACAGCACCGCCCTCCGCATATAAGATATATTATACAGAGTGACATCACCGCCCTCCGGATATAAGATATATTATACAGAGTGACAGCACCGCCCTCCGCATATAAGATATATTATACAGAGTGACATCACCGCCCTCCGGATATAAGATATATTATACAGGAGTGACATCACCGCCCTCCAGATATAAGATATATTATACAGAGTGACATCACCGCCCTCCAGATATAAGATATATTATACAGGAGTGACATCACCGCCCTCCAGATATAAGAGATATTATACAGAGTGACATCACCGCCCTCCAGATATAAGATATATTATACAGAGTGACATCACCGCCCTCCGGATATAAGATATATTATACAGAGTGACATCACCGCCCTCCGGATATAAGATATATTATACAGAGTGACATCACCGCCCTCCAGATATAAGATATATTATACAGAGTGACATCACCGCCCTCCAGATATAAGATATATTACACAGAGTGACATCACCGCCCTCCAGATATAAGATATATTATACAGAGTGACATCACCGCCCTCCAGATATAAGATATATTATACAGAGTGACATCACCGCCCTCCAGATATAAGATATATTATACAGGAGTG